CTGCTGCTGCTGCTGCTGGGCTGGTTGTGGTGGTGGTGGTGTTGCTGCTGCTGGTGCTGCTGCTGCTGCTCGTGCTGCTGCTGCTGGTGCTGCTGGTTTTGTTGCTGCTGCGGTTGCCGACTGTGCTGCAGCTCACTGTGCTGCTGCGACTGTGCTGCTGCTGCTGCTGCCGGAGACTGTGCTGCTGCTGCTGCTCCTGGTTGTGCTGCTGCTGCTGATGGTGGCGCTGCTGCTGCGAATTGCCGAGCTGCTGCTTCTAATTGCTGAACTGCTGCTGCTGCTGTCGACGTACCTTTGCTGCCACCAACTCTGCCGCTGCTGCAGCAACAGCAGCAGCAGCAGCAGCAGCAGCAGCAGCAGTTGAACTAACAGTAATTTGCTTTTTCCTTTTGCAGCAAAGTCAAGAAGCAGCAGACTCCCTGAAGTACAGCAGTTTGCAAACAGAAGAAATAATAAAAAGGGAGCAGCAAGCAGCAGCAGCAGCAGGACTTTTGGATGTGCGGGAAATGGATGCTGCTGCTTTTGCTGCTGCAGTTGCTGCTGCAGATGCAGCAGCAGCAGCACAAGCCCTGCGCCGCCTGCAGGCAGCAGCAGCAGCAGCAGAAACCCTCACCGAGCTCAGCCTAGCCCTCGCCAAAACCCCACACGATCCCGGGATCGACCCCACACTCGATCCCCACCCCACACTCGATCCCACACTCGATCCCCACCCCACACTCGATCCCAACTCCCCACAGCTGCAGCAGCTGCTGTCTTCCTATGGAAACAAAATCCGGCAAACACTCACTGTGAGTTTCTTTTTTTTTATTTTATTTATTTATTTTTATTTTATTTTTATTTATTTTATTTTTATTTATTTTATTTATATTTACTTTATTTTCAATTATTTATTTTATTTTATTTCATTTTTGTTTTTATTTTTTTTTTTTCATATTTTTTACTCTTCGCTTTTCCCTTTTGTCTCCTCCTTTGCTTTGCCCTCCATTTGTCTCCATTTTATTTATTTATTTATTTATTCATTTTTTTATTTATTTATTCATTTGTTTATTTAAATATTTTAATTAATTAATTAATTAATTAATTTGATTCTTTTTTAATTTTTATTATTTATTTTATTTCATCACAATTAAGCAGATTAAATAAATTCGTTTTCAAACTAATTGTTATTCCTCGCTTTTTTCAACTCTTTTTTGATTAAATGAATTGCTGTTTATTTATTTATTTATTCACTTATTATTTATTTATTTATTTATTTATTTATTTATTTATTTATTTATTTATTTATTTATTTGTTTATTTATTTATTTATAATTTAAATAAATAATTAATTAATTAATTATTTTTATTTTCACTTTTGCTTTTCATACAGGCCAGTGACAACTGGGCTCTTAGCAACGAAGCAATCAACACCCAGGCAAGTCCCACCTAAACCCTAAACCCTAAACCCTAAACCCTAAACCCTAGGCCTCGCAAGTGAGGATCTCGAAATGGCTGCCAAACCCTAAACTCTAAACCCTAAACCCTAAATCCTAGGCCTGCACTGCAAGGGTCTTGGAATGGCTGGTAAACCCTAAACCCTAGGCATGGACTGCAAGGGTCTTGAAGCGGCTGCCAAACCCTAAACCCTAAACCCTAAACCCTAGCTCGTGACCGACTACGCGGAGGCTACGTGAATGAGTGCAAGTTCAATTATTATTAGTACTTTTATTTTATTTTATTTTATTGTCTTTATTATTTATTTTATTTTACTCAGGCAACAATAATAACAGAACAAAGAGAAGCTCGCAGAATGCGGAAAACTTTAAATTCAATAATTGAAAATCTGGTGGAACAAAGAATCCAAATCTTCGCCCGGCAGGTCAGCTGCTGCATGCATGCATGCATGCATGCATGCATGCATGCATGCATGCATGCATGCATGCATGCAATTCATGCATGCAGCCCCTGCATGCACTTGTTTATTGCATGCAGCGGCTGCATGCAATCAATAAGTGCATGCATGCATGTAGTGGTTGCATGCATGCAGTGGATGCATGCATGCATGCAAGCAGTCTGCGCATGCATTCCTGTAGTGTGCATGCATGCATCAAGTGCATGCAACCGTGCAGCATGCATGCAAATCATACCAGTGCATGCATGCAGGGTTTGTCGGAGCGGTCAGATCATTTGCATGTTTGTGAGGGGCCTTTTATTGTAGTGTTTTGAACAGAGTGGGAGCAGCAGAATGCAAAAATCTTGGAAGTGGCATTTAATCGATTTGTTGGCGAATAAAAGATTATATTTATTTGAATTTATTCAACAAAGAAATACCATATCTGGAAAGGCCGCGATCTGCTGCTGCTGCTTTGCTGCTGCTGCTGCTTTGCTGCAGCAACAAGCGCAAGACACAGCCGTGCTGCAGCAGCTGCTGGACTTCGGCAAATCCGTTTCTTTGCTGCAAGAAGATATTTATTTCCAGTTTTGCAATTTGCGAAAAAGATATGAAAGGGCTTTGACCACGCGGAAGCTGGCGGCGCTGCCGGGCATTCAGCAGCGCTTTGCAGAAACGGTGGAGGAGCTTCTGAAGGTATTTCCGCGAAAAAAGAAACTTTTCGAATAAACTTCGCGAAAAAAGCAAAGTTTTCAAATGAAAAACATTAAATAATGTTTTTAATTGCTTTCTGAATCAACGCGGCGAAAAAAAAGCGACTTTCCGCCGCTTTCTGAATTTGCAAATTCAAGTTGCTCCCAGTGCCTGTTCCGAAACCCAACTTGAAAAATGGAAATATCTCTGCAACCTCTGCGTCTTTTTCCCCAATTCTTTTTGCAAATGAATGCAAATTATATTTAATTGCAATTTTCCGCAAAGTCCGAAGGCTGGGGCTTCGAAAACGGGGAAGATCGGCTTGCTTTCCACTTTGCACTTTTCAAGTTCTGAGCTGTACGTACACCGCGCGCAGGAGTTCACGAAACGCCAGCTGGAGGAAGAACACAAATTCGAAGAGAAAATTAATTCTGAAGAAATGGAATTCAACAAAAGTATTCAAGTTTTGATTCAGCAGACGCAAAGGGCAATGGCCGAAACCCAGCGCGTAAGCTGCTGCCCTTCCTGACCTTGCTGCTGCTGCTGCTGCAGCTTTTGCTGCTGCTGCTGCTGCTGCTGCAGCTTTTGCTGCTGCTGCTGCTGCAGCGTTTGCTGCTGCTGCTGCAGCCATTGCGTCTGCGGCTGCTTGCTGTCTTGCTGCCATTGCTTTTGCTGACCCTGCTGCTGCTGCTGCTGCTGCTGCTGCTTCTGCACTTGGTACTGCTGCTGCGGCTGTTGCTGCAGCTACTGCCTCCTCTGCTGCTGCTGCTGCTGCTGCTGCTGCTGCGTTTAAAGAACTGAATAGAGGCATAACCTCCAAATGAAGCAAAATCGAAGCAGAATGAAAAAGAAAAGGCCGAGTCGCCATTTATATTGAATGTTGAATTTGTGGTTTTTTGTTTTTGGAAATTAATTTTATTTCTTTTTCTTTTTCTTTTCTTTTTCTTTTTTTTTCTTTTCTTTTTTCTTTTTAGGAAATAGAAAGTGTTGAACAACTAAGTTGGTCCAAAAGAGAAACAATGCAAACGCAAATAATAAAAGCTTACCACTCCACTTTGTCGCAAAACAGACTCAACCAGCTCGCATACAAGTAAACCCTAAACCCTAAACCCTAAACCCTAAACCCTAATGCTAAACCCTAGGCTTGCTCACGGCTAAGCCGCTGAACCCTAAACCCTAGGCGCATTCAGAAAAGCCGCGAATTCTCCTGCAGGCCAAGAGCTCACTCTGAGGGTTCAAGGGTTTAGGGTTTAGGGTTTAGGGTTTAGGGTTTAGGGTTTAGGGTTTAGGATTTAAGGTTTAGGGTTTGGGAAAGACGCGCGCAGGGCCAGCAAGAACTCACGCACCTTCTTTGCGCAGCTATTTAGCGCAAACCTTACAGCGGCGTGCCCGCAAACCCTAAACCCTAAACCCTAAACCCTAAACCCTCGAGGGGTGGGTTTGTTTGCAGACAAGAACTCGAGAGGAAGTTGGTGACAGAAAAAAGACAAAATGAATGTTTGAGTCTTCTTTTATTCAACAGAGAAAGAGCAGACGCAATTGCGGAAGAGTACAAGTTCGCCACCGAACAGGCAAACCCTAAACCCTAAACCCTAAACCCTAAACCCTAAACCCTCGGGAAAAGGACTTGCAGCGTTGAAAAAAACGCCGTTTTCTGCGCAGCTCTCTCCCCGCCACAAAGGAAACAGATTTCATTTATTTATTTATTTATTATTTATTTATTTATTTATTTATTTATTTGTTTATTTATTTATTTAATTCAGGAACTGGACACTCTCGCGTTTGAGCAGCGCGGGGCGCTCGCGGACCTGCGCGCCGCGGGCGAAGAAAACTGCATGCATGCAGTGAGGGTTTGGAGTTCCTTTTTGGGGCTTTGCATGCAAATTGAAAAAGAAGAAAACCATTTAAAAGCTTTTCGAAACAAACAAAGACTCCGCAGAGTCCTCGAGGAAACAGAAGCCGCACTCGCCGCACACAAAACCCTCCAAGCCCGCAGAAACCAAGTACGGTTTAGGGTTTAGGGTTTAGGGTTTAGGGTTTAGGGTTTAGGGTTTGGGGCGTGGGGGTTAGGGGTTGAGGTGCAGGCGTTGGGGCTTGGGGTTCAGTGCCACGGAGGTGGGTTGAGGGTTTAGGGTTTAGGGTTTGGGATTTAGGGTTTAGGGTTTGGGGTTTAGGGTTTAGGGTTTAGGGTTTAGGGTTTTGGGGTGTATGTACAGCACGTGAAGACGTACCAGCAGCGCGTGATGATTGAGGTGGAGGACTTCATAAGAAAGTTGAAAGTAAAGATTTCAAAAAAGAAAAAGAAGCGCGTTAATCGCTGAATTAGGGTTTAGGGTTTAGGGTTTAGGGTTTAGGGTTTAGGGTTTGGTGTTTGAGGAAGTTGAAAGCAAAAGCTTCAACGGGAGAAAAAGAAGAGCGTTAATCGATGCGCCAGGGCCCCGGGCTTAGCACTTAGCGTCTAGGGTTTAGGGTTTAGGGTTTAGGGTTAAGGGTTTAGGGTTTGTGGTTTGTGGTTTGTGGTTTGTGGTTTGCAGGTGGTTTTGGAAATGCGGGAGCCGGTGGTTTGCGCAGTGGAGACGCAGCAGTGTATAGACAGCGCAAACCGCTGCATGCGCGTTTTGGGGAAGTTTTTGGAAAAAGAATTTTCGGAAATTAAAAAAGAAGTTTTAAATTCTTTTTTGGAAAAAAAGAAAAACAAAAGGGTTTGGGCCCTCAAAGAAGCTGCAGCAGCAGAACTCAAAACCCTCAAAGTCCTCCAAACCCTCAAAGACCAGCAGCAGCAGTGGGCCTTTTTCTTTTTTGTTTAATTCATTTTTCTTTTTATTTCATTTTTATTTTATTTTTTCATTCTTTTTTGTTTATTTAATTCTTTGTTTTATTTTATTGTTTAGTATTTAATTGTTTATTTAATTATTTGTTTTTGTTTGGTTCTTTGTTTTTATTTGGTTCTTTATTTTTATTCAATTCTTTGTTTTTATTTGGTTTTTTATTCACTTTTGTTTGATTATTTATTTACTTTTATTTAATTCTTAGTTTACTTTTATTTAATTATTATTTTATTATTTAATTCTTTATTATTTAATTTATTTATTTTTATTTAGTTGTGTTTTCAATTAATTCATTTCTTTATTTATTTTGATTTTTTTCCTCAGTTTAATTTAATTCTATATTTGATTTAATTCAATTCTGTTTTTATTTTATTTTCAATTTCATTTAATTTTTAATTTTCAATTTAATTTAATTTTTTTCATTTTTAATTAAATTTAATTCTTTTTTCATTTTTAATTAAATTGAATTCTTTTTTCATCTTTAATTAAACTTAATTCTTTGTTTTCAATTAAATTTAATTCTTTATTTTCAATTTAATTTAATTTTTTATTTTCAATTAAATTTAATTCTTAATTTCCAATTTAATTTAATTCTTTATTTTTAATTAAATTTAATTCTTTATTTTCTTCAATTCCATTTAACTCAACTGTCTCCTTTGAATTCAATCAAACAAAACAAAAACACACACTCCGCTGCTGCTGCTGCCGCTGCTGCTGCTGCTGCTGCTGCTGCTGCTGCCGCTGCTGCAGGCTGCGGGAGAGCGAAGTGTCTCTGTTTGAGTCTCTGAGTGTCCCTTTGGAGACTTTGGAAACAGAAAAAGAAATAAAAGAAAAAATTAATTTTTTGAAAATCGAAAAAATAAAAAATAAATTCATTCAGGAAGAAGCGGAAGTCCTCGAAGACCAAATTGCCGAGGTCCCTTTTATTTTATTTTATTTTATTTTTATTTTATTTTATTTTTTATTTTATTTTCTTTATTCTTTTGTTTGTTTTATTTTATTTTTATTTTATTTCTTTTGTTTCTCGTTTTTGTCTCCTTTTTGTCTCCTTTTATTTTTGATTTGTCTCCTTTTATTTTATTTTTATTATTTTCATTATTTTATATTTGTCTCCTTTAATTTATTTCTTTTGTTTTTATTTTTCATTTGTCTCTTTTTATTTGTTTTCTTTTGTCTCCTTTTTAGTTTCTTTTATTTATTTGTCTCTTTTATTTTCTTTTTAATTGTCTCCTTTTTGTTTCTTTTATTTATTTATCTCTTTTTAACTTTTCTTTTCATTGTCTCCTTTGTCCCTTTCTGTCGACCATCTTCTAACGCTCCTCTAGGGTTTAGGGTTTGGGGTTTAGGGTTTAGGGTTTAGGGTTTAGGGTTTAGGGTTTGGCTTTTGCAGCTGTATCAGTGCCTCATCTATCATTTATTATTCTTTATTTATTTCCTCGTTATCATTATTTATTTATTTATATATTTAATGTTTACTATTTTATTTATTATTTATTTATTTATTTATTTATTTATTTATTATTTATTTATTTATGTATTTATTTATTTATTTATTTATTATTTATTTATTTATTTATTTATTTATTTTTCATTTTATTTTATTTGTTTTTCTCCAGGCCAGAGAAAATGCTGTTTATGAACGCAGTGAAGAGAGCCTCCCCGCCATCATTGAATCTTTGAAAGTAATATTAGGGTTTAGGGTTTAGGGTTTAGGGTTTAGGGTTTAGGTTTTGAGCACTAGTGTTTACCTCGCAGGCCTCCTGCCCTCGCTGTCATTAGGGTTTAGGGTTTATACGGTCCAGGGTTTGGGTCTTTGGTTCGCTATTCCACGCCCCTCAAAAGCTTCGCCTAGGGTTTAGGGTTTAGGGTTTAGGGTTTAGGGTTTAGGGTTCAGGTTATAGCTCCGTCTTTCCGGCTTCGCGAACGCTTACCTAGGGTTTAGGGTTTAGGGTTTAAGCCCTGTCTCCCTTGTTCCAGTCCCCTAAACTCTTCAACTACTGTTTAATAGCTAAGGTTTAGGGTTTAGGGTTTAGGGTTTAGGGTTTAGGGTTTAGGGTTTGCGTGTGCAGGCGGAGTCGGCGGCGCGTTTGTCTTCTCTGGAGCAGCAGCTGCTGGCGGCCGAAAGCGAAAAGGAGACAGAAGAAATAAATGAAATAAATGAAGAAATAAATAAAAAAGAAATAAATAAAAAAGAAATAAATAAAAAAGAAATAAATA